ACACACACACTGGAATACTATTCAGCCATAAAAAGGAATGAAATCCTGCCATTTACAATGATGTGGATGGAGCTAGAGAAATAATGTTATGTGAAATAAATCAGAGAAAGACAAATACCATATGATTTCACTCATATGTGGAATTTAAGAAATAAAACAAATGAACATGGGTCGGGGGGAGAGAGAGACAAACCAAGAAATAGACTCTAAACTATTGAGAACAAATTAGTGGTTACTGGAGGGGAGGTGGTGGCAGGAGGCGTGGCAGGTTGGGGGGATGAGTTAAATAGGTGATGGTATTAAGGAAGGCACTTGTGATGAGCACCAGAAGTGATTAATCACTAAATTCTACACCTGAAGCTAATACTGCATTGTATGTTAATTAGCTGGAATTTAACTAAAAACTTGGAAACTAAAAGAATTTGCATTCCTTAGACTCCACACTGGATTTTAACTTAATAAAAAGTAAGACTAGCTTGGACAGAACTACCCTAAGAACCCTTGATTATCTATCCTAGTACTGGGGTGCTCATACAACAATGGGACTTCCAGGTAGGGAATGGGGATGCCCCACTACATCAGTGACCAAGTTGGTTCAGTGATCCACAAAGGTGTCCAGTTGGTATGGAGTTCAGTGGAAAGTTTTTTCCCTCCTAATATACTTTCATGTTATGTGCCAAGCAACCTAGGGATGATGTTTTCAAGGAGTTACTGAATCTCAGGTCAAGGTGAGTCTGGATAAAGCAGGTCACTGTCCTATAACATGAAGGTGCAGTATCCCAGAAAGTTACCCATGTACGTACCAACTACATCAGCACTAATAAAGATTCAATAGTTCAATGTGATTTCCTTCTATGTCCTACCTATACATGTCAGAGCTTGAATAAATTCTAGAAGGTGCTTCAGAAATAAAGGAGAAAATAAAAGCCCATGATCATATACCAAATGGTTGAGAGATCCATGACTAGGACTCAGGTCTATCATTTCTTAATATAGCTAGTACCATTTCCATAATACCATTCTAACCTCAACCAAAATCAATGTAGAATAATGGAGACAGCAATTTTATTTTAAAATATCTACTACTAGAAAATATCTACTAGATAAGAGTCTATACAACCTCCATCATTCAATCCCTTGAGTATCACAAAATGCCACCAGAAATGTAAACCTAAACATAAATTGTCATAAAGGAGAATTGAAAGAGATAATATTCATAACATTCATGCAACAGCCTGACCCCCTTTCCTTTTACTGGTAACACCACAAAAATATTCATATCATTCATATCATTCATGAAACAGCCTGACCCCCTTTCTTTTTACTTATAACACCACAACAGCTGGCCCCTAGGGTTCCATGTACTCCCATGTAGAGGTGTGAAAAATTCAACTATTATTAAAACAAAAAGGTTCACAATGATCAAATGCTCATTCTGGATACAATCTGAGGCAACATGTAATGCGATCTTAATTTCTCAAAGAATAAATATTAGTATAGTAGATAGAACACTGGACCTCTAAATTATGACTTGTACCCTGTCATTAACGGCCCTAGTCTGTTATCACAGTCCTCAGTCTAGACTTGTGCTAATACAGTAGCAACTAGCCACATGTGGCTAATGAACACCTGAAATGTGACTAATGTAAATGAAGATATACTGCCATCATAGAATACACACCAAATTTCAGTAGAAAAATATATTATTAACAATTTTCATAGTGATAATATATATTATATGATAATATTTTGGATACATTGGGTTAAGAAAATATATTAAAATTAATTTCACCTGTATTTTTGTATTTTTTTTTTACTTTTTTTACTGTGGCTAGTAGAAAAATTTAATTATATTTGTGGCTTGAATTTGTGATTCATGTGGCTCACATTTGTGGCTAACATTATATTTCTTTTTTTATTTATTAAATTTTAGTTAACATACAATATAATATTAGTTTCAGAAGTAGAATTTAGTGATTCATCAGTTACATACAACACTATTCTGGTATAGAGCAGTGGTTCTCAACATCAAAGATTCTGATTTAACTAGCCTAGAGCCTGAGTTTTGATGTTTAAAAAAAAAAAACAAAAACATTTTGATGTTTTTTTTTTTTTCACCCATGTGATTTATTTCATCATGAAGCCAGGGCAGAAAACCCTAGGCTAGACTCTGTCATGCATGCCTGAGCCAGTCAGTGGTCTTCTCAAAGGTAAGCTTCAGCTGCTGGGAATGTGTGCTTCTCCTGGTCTTGGAAGCAGAAGCATAAATGCCAGTTCACTGATATGCTAAAGCTTGGCTCTGCCATTTGCCTCCCTGAATCACTCTGCCCCATCCCTTTATTTACTGTTTATTATAAAAATGACATTTCACAGAAAGTCAAATACATTTGAATTGGGGTAACACTGGGGTACAGTTTACTCCTTCATTTAAAGAAGGGTCTGTCAGCACAAGACACACAAGCTGTTTCTTTACAGGACCACACACTAATCCTAAAGACCCATGGTTACTGATGTTTTCTTTCTGATTACCCCTGGGACCAATTCATCAAGCAGCAAGGCTAAGCTGGAACAGAGATGACACTTGAAGACTGACGGAAGATGCCACATACACAGAGGAAAAAGGATTGGATATTTCATTAGGAGATTTTCAGGACAGAAGAGGATGAAAGATCATTTTGTCTACCTCTCTGCTTCTGAGTACTGACCTCACCTAAATAATTCCAACCAGATAACAGTGTTCCCTAGGTTTAAAGTCCTCCAAGAAAGGAGGCCTTTTTTAACCACTAAGGCCAGCCTTGATACATAGACCTTTTGGAGCTAATAACGTGGTGGGGTGATAATGAGGAGGATAATATTGGTGATAAATCAAGTTACCATTTGCCAGTTACCCACCATGTGCCAAGCACTGTGCTAAACACTTTAGACCTTTATGTGATCTCATTTAATCCTCATAAAATTCTGTTATCCTTATTTTTCAGATGAGGAAATCAAGGTTCAGGGAACTGAAGTCTTTCCAAAAGCCATGGAGTTGGGAGGTAGTAAAGCTGAAATTGCATTGTGGGTTATCTGACTCCAAATGCCCTGCTCCTTCCCTCATGTCACAATGTCATGATAATCCTGATGCCCTTCATCTTCCAGGAGCCCAAGCCACTCTGATATTTTGTTTGGCATCAGGTATCTTACAGAAGAAACTAACAAAATGTGATAGGCTGTGGTAGGGATGATCATAAGACATCCTAACGTAGCTTTCGTATTTGTACTGCCACAAAGTCATTTCACTGTGATCTCTACTGGCATGAAAGAACTGTCAACACCATTTTGTGGATGGGGGTTGGGGGAATCAGAGCCCACAATTACCAACAAAAAAACAAAAACATATTCTAGCTCATAACTCTAAGGAAGGCCAAAAGCTGAGACATCAGGCCAGTGCTCTTCCCCATAGCATTCTGCTAATTGATAACCCAGAGGAAGCAGAAACTGCTAAGGAAACCTTTCTCAAGAGCCCCTTCTATTAAGGGCCAGGTTCTTCATGGCACAATGTCAAAAGGGCCAAGACCTTAAAAGCCCCATCAAGGTGACTGCTTCCCACCCTGAACACATCTTAAATCCCAGTCACCTCACTCAAAGTAAGATATGCAATCAGTAAACTCTAGCCTCTGAGAGGTAGAGAGCCCACACTCTTACATTAATAGCTGAAGACAACACACAGGCGTGTTCACGCTTTCCTAAATAAAAGAAAGAAGATAAAGAAGGCAGAGAGGAGTGAGAAGGGGAGGAGGAAGGAAGGGAGAGATCTATAAAATGAAAGAAAAGGGGAGACAAGGAAAATAATGAAATCAGAAAAGAAGAGATATAAGAAAGGCAAAAGTTCACAACAATATAAAGTTAAGAGTCTTCAAAAACCATCAAGGCCAAAAGGGAAGTGATTTGTACAAAGCCACCATACTTAGGAGACAGGAGGCAGGAGGAAGAATATGGGAATTGTTAAAATAAATAAGGGATAAAAAGAAAAGACTTAAAATTAGAAGGGAAAAGATTAAAGGAGGCTCAAGTCCTCGGTAAAAAAAAAAAAAAAAAAAAAAAAAAAAAGGAAAAATTGTGAGAGGAGCCACCAGGAGAGAAATGAACAGGAGAAAAGAGGCTGGTGAAGGGGGAGCCAGGGGCAGGTAGCCAAGGAGACAGGAGAGGGGAGTGAAGGCTGACTGACACTCACCCTCACAAAGCTGGCAGGAAACCATCCCTCCTCATCGTCGATCTGGCCCCACCACCAATCCTTGTTGGAAGCATCCAAGACTTTGATGACGTCGCCAGCTTTAAATGCCAACTCCCGGTTGGCCATGGTGACGTGATCCCATACTGCCTCAGCACTAACGATGGAATCTCCAGTGATCAGCTTAGGAGACAAAATGAGAATGTGTTCAGTCCACACAGCTGGCTACCTTACTTGCCCTTTACCCCACCCACAGAACTCTACTAGTTATGGAAAAACTGACATACTAGTGGTGAAGGGTTGGGGAGAGGGAGATGGCACTGGGAAGCACAAGCTCCACTGGACCACAAGACAAACAATACTTGTCAACTTTCCATTAGCCAGTGGATGGAATGACCCAGAATGTGAATATGAACTACATAAGCCTTGTGCTTTTATCCCTACTCATTAGATCCTTCCCCAGAAAAGAAAGAAAGTTCCAATGCATCTTCTCTTAGTGCTTAAAGGCAGCCCTGGGTCTGGAATGGGTGAAGAGGTTAAAATCAAAGGCTAAAATGAAGCTCAAACATATTTGTTCTAGATTCTCTGTGTTCCTCCCTGTTTCCTCCTCCTTGTTGGAACTGACTAATTGAGAGTTGGTGGTACATTATTTAACACCACTATAACCCACTCCCAAGGGGTTACAAATCATGGCATTCCTCACACACAATGGACTCCAGTCCTGCAGCCTCCTGGTCTCACCCACACATGATGCCATCCAGAGAGGTCATGGGTGTGAAAGAATATGGCTTTCTGTGATGCCTTGCTTCCATAAAACTCAACCTTGGCATAAATTCACTCAGTGATTTGTACCACCACCCTATGAGATACGTAGGGGGTCTAGGTTGAATCCTGCATTTGACAGATGGCAAAACTGAGTCACAAGGAAGCTAAGGAATGAACTTAGGATCACGCAGCAAGACAGGGGCTGTGCAAAGACCTTAACCCTGGTCATTAAAGTATATGACCAGTAGGACTGTGATCCACACAGTAACAGGAAGACATCTATCCCAGTTCCACATCCCCCCCCCACACACACACACATTCACAACACTCATCTAAGCACAGTGATGATGATGGGGGTGAGAAAAGAGTCTGCCTCTCTCTGGCTGCCATCCAGACCCCTATGTTGTTTGTTATCCTTTTTATCCAGCTGTTTACAGCCTATATGGGCCATCAATCTTCCTGGCATTTGGAGAAACAGATTCTAGAATAGAGAACATATGGCCTGTCAAGGCAAGGGATTCAAGAATTCTCTCTCTAGCACTAAATTTCTGAACATGTTCTCTATATGTTAACTTTTCCATCAATCTGTTTTGAGGAAGGGCTGATTCTCTAAGGCAATTGTGGCTCCACAAGCCCAAAGACAAAATGGTTCAAAAACAACAGAGACAGAATATAGAATATGCATCCTCTCACATAGGTCTGTCTTTCAATATGCCAACTAGAGAATAACCCCATGGTCATGAAATTAGCACATAACACATTGCATACACATGAAAACATATCCAATAACTGATCTTTTGACTTAGGCAAGGCATTCTGTTGGTCAGGTACAGCATGGGGGGCTCCTGATCATGGATGCAAGAGAGATTTCCAGTAGGACTTTTTATAACACTACCTTTCAAGTGTTTCATGCTTTACAGTTTACAATGTATTTTCACACCTACTGTATCACTTGATCCTCACTGAATGAGCAAGGTGTCACTATTACCCATATTTTAAAGATAAGGAAACTGAGGCTTTGATAGGTAACCTGTGCTTTGGTCAATCATACAAGTTGATAATAATGGAGCCTGGCCTTCTGACTGCATATGCTCTAATGCCCATCATACCATACTACCAATGTCTACTCATTAGCTATACTGAACTCATAAAATTCCATCCATAATATCTCAAACCATATAACTCATATTCTTAAAGAATCCAAAAGAAGGAGATATGGACAGCTACCTTTAAGTGACTAGTTCCCCTTCCTATGAGAAGATTTATTTTTATGTTGAACCTGTTTTCTTCCAATTGCACTGAAAGTCAATTTCTTCTTGTTCTGACCTCAGTGGAGAAGAATTGCTGGCCACTTGCCTCAATAGAATAAATCTTCATAAAGAAATTTCCCCTCTCCTGCCAAAGATGGTTTCCAACTGGGTGTTGCTAGGGCTCAATAAGCACATACAGCCCCAAATCACAGCAGGAAGACTTGTAGCTTAAGGCTATATCCTTGGCTTTTTACCAAAGGTCAAGAGTATCTTGGCATCAATTACCAATCCTTTGCTCAGGACACTATGATGCTGTCTTAGGTACCCTAGGCCCAGGTCTGGCTAATTCCACTGCCTGTATTCTTTCTACAGTCATCTTTCCAACCTTATGCTTGGCTCTTCCCAGCAGCAGTTGGCTCACTCTTGTCCCCAATTAGTCCAGCTGACCTGCCTAGGCCCTCAGATCAGAGATCCCAGCTATACTCTGGACAAGGTCAATATAGGATCCAGGGTCCATAAACAAACTGTAAGTCTGTTGTCAAGGCCTACTTGGAATCAAAGGCAGTCAGAACTGGAAACCATTTCAAAGATCATCAATGTTGAGCCCTCATTTTATAGATCAGGTATAATACAACAGGAGTAATTTGCCTACAGTCAGCAGATGGCCAGCCTCCTAGACCATTTGTTTCCCAAAGTAACACCATAGAGAAGGTAGAAAAGAACACCTGGATTTAAGACCTTGCTCTACTACTTGCTAAAGGTGTGATGATAATGATAGTGATGATGACGATGATGATGATAATATTAGATAATATAGAGTACTTGCTATATGTTAGGCACTATTCTAAGTACTTTACACACATTAATTCATTGAAGCTTCACAGCATCCCTATGAGGAAATACTATTATTATTCCTATCTTACAGGTGAGGAAACTGAAGTTCAGAGAGGTTAAGTGACTTTCCTAAATTTATACAGCTGATAAGTATTGAAGACATAATTCAAATGCAGCTACAATTTGGCTCCAGTGTCTGCTCTTATAAGCTATCATGCTATGGGATGGGTTGGTTATACTGTTAAAAATGTATAATTCTATATCCCCACCTGCTTCATGAATTACAACATACTGAACCAAGAGTTGATGGATATGTGTGCAGACATGAGAGGAAGAATAATCCAGAAGGGGTTGGTAGCTGTATGGGGCTCCTGTGCTTTCCAGTCACAAATATAAGCAGGTATAAGGGGACGCTACTCCCCTATCCTCTGAGTTGTTTTAAAAGTGAACTAAATTTGGGCTGGAAATTGGTTTCAAATCCTCCTTTTGTGTACAGGATTGACTTAAATTGCTACATTTCTTTTATAAATATGCACTTTGCTCACCCATTTTCCATACAACACTCATTCAGTGAGCCTCCACCATTATCTTCTTATTGTGATTCATGCCTAGTCCTTACATGAAGATCAAAGGCCCTTCAGGCACCAACACTGAATGCCATTCAAGCAGTATGCAAAATGGTTAAGGGCAAGCAAACCTAGCTTCAAATCTGGGCTTTCCTACTTCAGAAAGTGTCAGTGACTTTCTAAACTTGAAACACCACCCCCACCCCCAAATCAACTTTGACTTCTTCCTTTTCTTCAAACTAGATTTAAGATCCTTCAAACAGTACTCCATCCTACCTTTCTAGATGTCCTTCTCCTACTCTCCTACCCCCTCTTAACAACCCTTTCCAAATTGTACTACCTGTTTGCCATCAAATTCCCCGTAGTTTTTAACTATGGGAGATGAGGAATAGAAGAGTCAGAGAAACAAACCAAAATGGAACTTTCAGCATGTAATTAGGATACCAAGGAGCACAATATCACAAAAGCCAAGGAGAACAGTTTCAAGATATACAACTTTTGTAATCAATTTCTTCATATATAAAATGGGGATAATAATATCTGCCTCACAGGCAGGGTAGTAGAGAGGGCAAACTGAGTACTGTATGTACAGTGCCTACTACAGTATTTGGTACATGTTGGCCTAGTACAAGACTTCAGAAGAAGGGAGGAACATATGTGGCTGTTAGGCTCTAAAGTAATTTTGTGGGACCCTGAAAATAGGCCTTAAAGAATGGGTAGGATTGTAACATATTGAAGAGGGATCAGGAAAGGCATTTGAGGTAGAGGAATTAGGAATGAGACTACATAAAGTCTCAGAGGTGAAAACTATGGGGAATTTGATGGCAAACAGGTAGTGGAATTTGGAGAGGGCTGGGAAGAGGGGGTTGGGGGAGTTGGGGAAGGACAGCTGGAAAGGTAGGATGGAGTCCTGTTTGAAGGCTCTTAAATCTAGTTTGAGGAAAAGGAAGAAATCAAAGTAGATTTCGGGGTGGGGGTGGTGTTTCAAGTCAAAGTGTCATGAGAGTTACATGAGGAAATGCTGGTTTGGGAGGGGGAAAAAGAGATGACAAATTTTCTCTCCAATGTGTTGAATATGGGGGGCCAGCAAGATATGCAGGTAGATTTCAAGTTCAAGAGATATCAGGAGAGATAGTTATATAGGTTTTGGAGTCAATGGCTCAGAAATTGTGGAAACCAATGAAGTTTTCCCTGGAAGAAAGTGTTAAGAAAGAAGATCAGAAACCTCAGGAAACAGCAACAATGGGAGGTGAGGAAGAGAAGAAGAGCCAGAGAAACAAATGAAGCTTTCAGTACCTAATGAGGATACCAAGGAGTGTAATCTTGCAAAAGCCAAGGCCAAGAGTTTTAAGTAGCAGGAGCTGATAAAATTATCAAATGGTACAGAGCTATAAAATGAAGAAAGCAAGAAATGGCCATTTGGGAGTAGCTATATCAGCTGTTAAATTTTTTACATCTTTTTTTTTTTTTCAACGTTTATTTATTTTGGGGACAGAGAGAGACAGAGCATGAACGGGGGAGGGGCAGAGAGAGAGGGAGACACAGAATCAGAAACAGGCTCCAGGCTCTGAGCCATCAGCCCAGAGCCTGATGCGAGCCTGACGCGGGGCTCGAACTCACGGACCGCGAGATCGTGACCTGGCTGAAGTCGGACGCTTAACCAACTGCGCCACCCAGGCGCCCCAATTTTTTACATCTTAAACTGGTTTATACCCCGTCCCCCTCCAAAAACCTTAATTTCCTAATTGTCCCCACCCATTTATCT